TCGGACTTCCTTAAAAAAGAAAAAACTTGGGCCCTCCCTGGTGGCTCAGCTGGTTAGGACGCAGCACTGCAAGCTGGCTGCAGCCACTTCAGTGCTGTTTTGACCCCCGCCCCGGAGGTGACCCACATGGTGCAGCAGATATTCAACAGATAGTGCTGGAATAGTAAGCTCTCTTATATGGCCCACTGCTCCCTCAGCAGTGTACTTGGTCGATCTGCCTGTTCTGCTCCCCACTCTGTCTCTGGTGAAGCCTCTCACTGCCCCTGCATCTCTGGCTTGTACCCCAGTTCTGTGTGCATAAATATATAAATCTTAAAAAAAAAAACAAAAACAAAAAACTTAATATGCAAAAGACATAAGATAATGAAAAAATAAGTAAATAAAATAGTAAAAAACAAAAAGGTAATAAAAATACAAACCATAGATTAGGAGAATATACTTGCAAAACATGTATTGATGAAAGAACTTGTATAAAGAATATAGAAAGAATTATTAAATTCAACTCAAGGAAAGCAAGACCTCAATTAAGTAATAGGCAAAAAAGCTAAGACACTCACCAGAAAAGGTAGACCAAATGAGGTTAAGTATATGAAAAAAATTCTCAACATAATATATCATATGTTATAAATAAAAAATAAGCACTAAAATTAGTATATTAGACCCATATAAAGAATACTAGGTGATAGATCTGAAGAAATTATTCAACTGTGTAGCACAAAGAAAAAAAGAAGATGGAAAATATGAAAGAATATAGACAGTGAGAGTAAAGAGGTGTAGCACTTGGTATTTGCCACAGAAAGGAAGGATAGAATGATATGTTTCAAAAAGTTAAGATCAGGAATATTCCAGAACTCATAAGAGACAAAAGTTCACAGACATTGTAAGCTCAGTACTTAACTATTAAAATGAAAATGGAATTGGTACCTAGATTACTATGATGAAAACTTGAGATCACCAAAGGTGAGATCTAAAAGCAACCAGATGGGAAAAGCAAATCAGCAACACAGAAATGACTCTCAGAAATTTAGGGCAGGTTTCTTATAAACATTATTGCAAGATAGAAAATACTGGAATAATATCCTCAAAGTATTGTAAGAAAATAATTGTCTTCTAGGAATTGTTAACTTTCTGAGGGGTATCTTGAGAATGAGGATACAATAATACATATAAATATAGGAAGGTTTATTGGAGTAAGTCTCTACTAAGTAAAATTACAAGGAATCGTGAGAATAAAAAAATTAAATCTTCATAATTATAAGAAATACCTTCTGTATTAAATAATAATTTTATGACAAATAAATCCCTGGAAAAGAGTGAATTAGATTTAGTGTTCTGGCCTTGTGATTGCTAGGGAGGAGTGTTAAGATACTGATAAACTTTAGATTACAAGTTGTTAAATATGAATAAGATCCTGGATAACCAATGAAAAATCAGAAATATAGTGTACAGCATTTAAATCAACAAAAGGGATAAATTGAAACATTAATAATGGACATTAGTTGTTTAAAAAAATAGAAGGGGGAAAAAGGAGTAAATAGGAAAGAAAGCAAGACAAAATAATATCAATAAATATAAATATGTTAACTTGGCCAGTTATAACACAGATTTTAATATTAAATAAGATAAAAATCTAGCCATACACTAGTTAAAGATACATTAAAATAGCAGACAACTGAGAGTAAAAAGATGGAAACATAGACATCAGGAAAATACTAAAGAAAAGCTTAGGCAGATTACTAGAATAAGCTGTAGGACAGCTTATTTTATTTTTTGCAGTAAACTCAGAGAATCTAATAGATGCACATTTATTCATGAATAAAATAACCTAATAAATTAATAATTTAATAAAATATATGAATAACTACAGAGGTTTATTTCAAGATAGCTTTCTCAGTAGAAAGGACAAATAGATAAAATGTAAATAAAGATTAAAAGGATCTGAACAATGCACTTCATAAGATTGACATAATAAATACTCATAGTAACTTGCAGCCAATAATTAGTTCATTAAAGCAAGAAAAATATCTTAAAGAAAGTAAATTAAACTTCCAATAATAGTTACCTTTAGTGGCAAAGTGGGTCAGGCAAGAGGATGGGATCAGAGAGAAACAAACAAGCAACTCCAGCGGTAATAATTACTAGTGCCTGAATAGAGTGTTCACCATGCACTTTAATAGAATGCACACTAACATTTTATGTTATTTATTTTCTTTTGTATATATTCAACACAATATAACAAAAGGAAATTTTAATGTCCTAATATTTTCTTCATTCTGCAGTATGTTTCAGATTTTATTGTGCTGTGGAAAGGTGTTAGACAATGATTAATGTCCTCTCCCAATAGACATTCCATTCCAATTAACATTAATTAACTTCCTGCAATATCCCTTATGTCTTTTTGATACCGGCAACAACCCGTAAAGTGTCAGTTGACAGCTCTTCACAATCTTCGAAAGAAAGGCTTATGAGTTAATCTACCCTATCCTCTTGGAAAGCTCGAGAAAATCGTGACCTTTTATGGACCATCTATTTCTTTTGCTTATGAATAGAACATCACAGAATTATACAATGTTATGTTATTATTTGTATATTTCACAAATGAAGTAACTGAGCAGTGGTTCGGTAACTTACATTTTGTAAAAAAAAGACATCTTTTCTACTGTCAGAGAGCTCCAAAGTAGAAAATTTCCATCTTCCTTTACTTATTCTGAAATTCAGCAAAACACAAGAGAATTTTCTAGTGTCTCATACTGATGTTAACTATTTTAATTGAAATGATTTTTGAAATTGAAATTTAACAGCATTGGGCCAATTTGGGCCATATTATAAAAAGAGCTTGGATTATTTTTTTCACAAGTACACACATAGGATAAACTTTTGTGAAAAGAAAGATGTTGGATCCTCATTCTTTGATTTAACAAACTTATTTCTGGCATTTACATTATGAAAGGTAAGTGCCAGAGTGGCACTGACTAAACTTTTCGTTTTTTTTATTTTGAAATAATTTCAGATTTACAAAACATTCAAAGCATTCCAAGTTACCCTTCACCCAGCATCTCCAGATATTTACAGTTAAAACCAGAGAATAATTATCAACAGAAAAAAGTCAGGAAACGAGTATAGCTACATTATCGAGAGTTCTTACTCAAATTCCATCTAATAATCCAAAACTGTTCTAGAATGGGAACCAGACCATGGTTTATATGTTTGTTTATTCTATATATTATATGCATAATATATTTACACATTATATACATTAGTGTTCCTTTGTTTTAGAACAAGTGTTTAGTCTTTAATTTTTATGACCTTGGCACTTGAAAAAATTACAAAGTACAAGCCACTTATTTTAAAGGATGGACTTTAATTTAGATTTGTGTGATAGTTCCTCATGATTATGTTCAGGTTTTACCTTTGAGTGAGAATAGATAGAAGGAATCCTGGGGGAAGGAGTGATCCTTTGGGCATCATATAAGGAGCACATGATATCAATTTGTCCTATTACTGGTGATGTTAACTTTGATCACTTGATTAAGGTGCTGTCTGCCAAGTTTCTCCAATGTAAAGTTCCAATTTTTCTTTTTGTATTTAATAAGTATCTTGAGGGGAGATACTTTGAGACTGCATAAACATCCATTTTTCATTACACTTTTGCTCACTAATTGTACCACTCCTTGATGATTTTTGCCTGAAGCAATTATTACTGTGGGGCTTGACATACAGTGATTGTGTGATCTCATTCCCTCACATCTGTAAGTTAGAATTTTGTAAAGAAGAGGTTCTCCTTATCCCTCATTTATTTATCCATTTAAAAATTTTTATCATTAGAGACTCCTGGATGACTTTTCCATTCTGACGGTAATAACCTGTTATGATCAGTATTTACTGGGTTGTTTGTACGGGTGCCTGTGTCTTCCAATGTCCCATCAGTTTTGCGCATGTATTTGATTTCTGGCACGACAGTGTTCCAGAACCATCCCCTGCTTTCCTTGCTACAGTCCTAAAATAAACTGATTCTCCAAGGAACCCTGATCAGAGAAGGCCACTCTTGACATCATTCAAAACTTGAAATTCCCCAGAGAGGCTGAAACCTTCAAGGACAGTGGAGATATTTATCATCCCATTCTATCAACAAAATCGTCATTACACAGTTCTTGAATGTCATAAGGCTAGGTCTACAAAAATAAATATCAAGTATTTTTACCTTTGATATACAAGTAAAAATAGTCACCACATTTACCATCTGAACCTGATGAACTGTTTGTAGGTAAAAAAAAAAAGTTTGTGGCATGATAAATTCATAGAAGCAGGGATAAAAAGAGATAGTAAAAACAACAAAATAATTTAAACATAGCACCAAAGTCTTTTTCCATATTTTGGTTTTGGAGGTCTGGGTACCTGAAATGGGTGATGGTCTTTGAATTCAACTAACTGATCACTACCTGTCCTCTATGAGATAGGCTATATTCATGTTAGAAATAGTGATTCCAGATTTTAAACACATCTCTAATAGGATAGAGCTAATTGTTACCTCTTCTTGCATGTACATGATCACAGTGCAATACTGTCAAAAAGTTTGAAGGCTTATAATTTTGTCATGAAGAGAATGACCTTTATTTTGTTCTATAACTACAAAAATATTTTCATTTTTAGTTTTATTATAAACTTTACTGACTTACAGTATGTTTTGTAAGTATGTGAGAAACACTGTTCTTTCACCCTTGTTTAACTCTCACTGGTTGACAGGTTCACTAAAGTAAGAATTATATTTAAACCTTAGATGGCATCATGTAAAAATACCACAAAGGAAATTTCTGAATTAGTGCTGGAGCTAGAATGCATACTGTTTAAAGCTCTCTTACAACTATTCAAATTTTATATTTTAGTTAGACACCAGCAAACACGTCAAACAAGTGTTAATACAGTGATACTCCCATACATACACTTCACCTGGCTTCCTCTCATCTGTCTCACCAATCCCATTCTGTTATCTCCTCCCTTAGATTTTTATTAACAATGAGTGGCAGAACTCAGAGAGTGGAAAAGTGTTCCCTGTCTATAATCCAGCCACAGGAGAACAGGTGTGTGAAGTTCAAGAAGCAGACAAGGTATGTCCTTCTTAGAAAAAGATTCTCTCTGAAATAACTACCTTCAAACAGCAAAACACCAACCTTACGCTCTTCAGATACTATCACTCATGTTCATTCACCATCATTTTCATGAGAACAAGTGGGTTCTTCCCTTATTCGGAGTGTCATGTCTCTTTATTTGTGCCTCTTCTTCTCTAACAGGCAGATATAGACAAAGCAGTGCAGGCAGCCCGCCTGGCTTTCTCTCTTGGATCGGTGTGGAGAAGGACAGATGCTTCAGAAAGAGGACGTCTGTTGGATAAACTTGCAGACCTGGTAGAAAGAGACAGGACAGTTCTCGCAGTAAGTAGCCCAAGAAAACATTAGGTTTTAACCTTGGATTTACCATGCCACTGAAATTGACATCAGTCAATCTTTCTGATAAATGTGATTTGAAGCAGATCAGGAGAAAGTGCATGTAACACACATGAGAAAGGAGAGATGTTTGGTTTTGGGGTTCAGGTAGGAAAGAAGATGAGCTGAGTATCTCTTCTGACAGCATTTTGAAGACCAGCACCATAAGTTCCTGTGACTGGTAAGGACCTTTCTCCTGTACTTCACAGCCTCCCCCTTCACCCTCAAGAGACAAAACAAAACAAAACAGATCACAGGAGAATTACCATGCTGCCTGCAGAAAGCTAATACCAGGTGATTCTACCAGGAATGGTTATTACCCTCCCACAGTGAACCCCCTTTGACTAAAGAGAACCCATCAGAAGTGGAGGGTGTGAAATAGAAGGTGTCTTATTTCTCTGCTTCCTTTTTTAAATTCTGTCACTGTCTAGAACCAAGAGAAAAGAGAGAGTAGCAACTTTCTTTTCCTAAAACAATCATTTGCTTCACAGAAGGAAATTCTCTTCTAGTAGAATGTTGTTGTTGTTCCTGTTTTTAACATGTTGAAAATGAACAATTTGAGAACATTTGTGCTGTACACCAGGAATCTCTACCTGGTGAGGTACATTTGGTCAATTAGTGTGTAGGGCCTTTTTCAGTGCATCGAGCCATGAATCCTACATCCTGCTTTCTTCTTGGGGGAAACGAGTCACTACTGGCCTTACTTTGGGAGAATAAAGCATTAGTGCCCTCCTCTCTCACTTCTACCACAATTCCTCCTTCCTACCACCCCTGCCACCAGGATCTATTCATATTTCAGAAAGAAAAATGAATCCTTTATGGAGACCATTTAGGACTGTAGCTGTTTGTCATTTTCTGCTCTGTAGTCCAAGGAATACTGTTCCAATAAGGTGTTCATAGACTCTAAAAAACCTTACTCAGTGTTTCTCGAAGTTATTTGAATCTCAACATTATTTGTCTGGCTTACCTATCAATATTGTGTGAAGTGGAATTCTTTGAAATAGCTTGGGGATGCTTATTCTGTATGTCTCTCCACTGGATTATGATTTCTTTTGAGTTTTGTAATTCTTGTGCAGTTTCTGGCACGTCAGTGGTTGATGGAGGCACATAGATGGTCAGTAAGTGTTTGCGTTCAGCTCTCTCAACAGTTGTATTTTTTTTTTAAGATTTATTTATTTATGCACACAGAGCTGGGGTACAGGCCAGAAGTGCAGGGGCAGTAAGAGGATTCATCAGAGACAGAGTAGGAAGCAGAACAGGGGAGCAGCAGGCGAGACAGGAGAGGTCTGCTGCACCATTGTGGGTCAACTCTGGGGCGGGGATCTAAAAATCACTGAAGCGGCTGTGGCCAGCTGCACCCTAACCCTTTGCACCATGGGGAAGGGCCAGTACACTTGTATTTTCATGTCATAAGATCCAGTGTCATCCTTTTTTCTCACATGTCTCGTCATGTCCTTTTCTCTCATGCTTAAGTCAGATTTCTACTTTTAAACAACTCCAAGCTATCAGAGGTAGGCCAGAATATAGGGCTGTTCCTGACCAGAAAACTGAAGTCAATATTGCCTCCAAGAAAATCAACCCAGGGTTGGCAATCCTAAGGTGACTTTGGATGACATCAGCAGCTCCTAGGGACCATTTAGATGGCCCAGATTCTGGTTTATTGAGTCTGCTTCACAGTGCTATATATAGAAAGTGGCTCTGTGCTCCCTGCCTGGGGAATGAAATGACCCCCTTATGCACATACAAATACTTGAGTTATTTTACAGTGATGTATAATGTGGTATTTTAAAAATGGTCCTATCTTATGGATATCCACTTATACACATAGTAAGTGAATGAGTTTAATTGTAAATAATAGCATTGTCCTTGAATAGAGATGCTCATTAATATAATATTTTAATTTTCCCTATGTCAGCACTCAAAATAATTTTCACACAAGCATGTGTTATAAAATGTCCTTATAGAGATGGACTTCCATTATAAACATGTTTCATTTGTTAAGATTTTGTAGTACTTTTAATATTTCTGAAGTCAAAATACTCTTTTCTCATTGCATTGTGTTCATTTGTAATTATTTTTGTAACAGACTTAACCAGTTTAGGAGTAATATTTATAATCTCAAACTGCTTAATATCCCTATTTTTATTAAAAGGACCAGTTCTTCACTCTTAATAGATAATGGTTGTTATTTACAAAAAACCCAGCCCTGAAGTTGTTAAGGTATGAACTTCCCCAGAGGGCATCTTGTTTATTTGGTGGTAATAACTAAACTCGCTGTGCGCTGTGGATATTCCATTTCTCAGCAGGGGTCTTGGCAGCTGTGGAGAAGGTTTTATATTCTCATCAGTTGCATAAAAGCCCATGGCTTGCTTCTCTTTTTTTGGATTCAGATTACTAGTGTGGACTCCAAAAATTCCCCATGCAGTTCTGATCATTAATATAACAGAAGCTGATTTGACAAGCTTAACATTTCTTTATCATCAGTTGAAGAAATGTTGTGTTTATACATTTGGATAGTGGTTACTGGAAATGTACAATGCAGAAGAACACATACATATATATTCATGGTGGTTCTTACTAGAAACTGAATGGGTAGTACTAAAAATCTTTTTGTCTGGGAAATCGGAGTTGACCAGGTACACACTAGCTTTCAAATTCATTAGTGTTCTTTCTGCCCCTTTTTCTTCTGCTCCAGACATTATTTAGTGTATCACTAAAAAAGTTTTCATTTCTTTTCCTACAGACCATGGAATCCCTAAATGGTGGCAAACCGTTCCTGCAAGCTTTTTACGTGGATTTGCAGGGAGTCATCAAAACCCTTCGGTATTATGCAGGCTGGGCTGACAAAATCCATGGGATGACCATCCCTGTAGGTATGTGAGATCTGAGTGTGGTGAAAAGGGAAACATGAGGCTCCACCAGAAATACATGCCACCCCCAGACACAAATGGCAGTCACCTGGGACACAGGTATGAGCACACTTAGAACAGTGGGGACTGGAGAAAGACCAGGCCGGTGATGACCCTGCTCTGACAGCGCCCTATTTCCACATGTACACGGTCCACCTGTAAGAGCAGGGGCGGCCCACCTAAAACAGGAACCCCATCAGCCAGACAGGTAGGTGCTGGTCAGCTGCTGTGTGCTTAGCGCTATGCTGTGTTAGGTGGTGGCAGAGTGGCAAGGACATACGGCATAAGTCAAGACGGATTCCAAGAAAATGAAGGCTTGGTCCTTGCTCTCTGAAAATGTAAGATCTACTCTTTGGGTAGGAAATACTTGAAAGTGTTAGCAATTGCTGTTTCATAGTGGTGACAAAATGATTGATCTTTAGAAATGTTTTTCCCATGTTTTCTGTATTTCCTGTAGTGAAAACAACAATCAGCTCTACTTTTTTTCAAAATACAGGTGAGGAGACAAAACCAATCACACAAAAAGTATCTCTTTTGGGAGAGTTACAGTTAGGTGCTCTTCATGTGGCCTGGCCTGTCAGTGCTATGGTCTCTTGAAGCGTAGGAAAAAAACACCAAACTAAGTTAGAGGGTAAAAAGGTCTTAATCTGAGAGTGAACACTATTGGAGAGCCTGATAATTAAAACTTTTGTCAAAATCGGGTCATGTGTGAGCCCATTCAGGCTGATATCTCCTCTAAGGTTGGAGATGAGTTAAAATCAAAGGCCTCAGCTTTTTTGTTCTCCATCCCACCTACTCTTTCAGTCTTAGAACAACAAATATGTTTTAGGCACTTTAATCTTTTCAAATTATTTATACAGATATCTTAGGAATAAGGTAAAACAGAAGACTAGATACATAAATCTCTATTTGGCCTAACAATGTCTTGTATTTTTCTTCCACTTCCTCTGGTTAGAAGGCCCTGACTAGATAAAGGTTTATTAGCTATAGATTTATTGGAGTTTCTGATAATGTTTGATACTACACCATCTGCAACTGTCCCCAATCTGGCAATAGAGGCAGTTGGTCTTCCAGCGGTAGCTTATCCTATCACTGTGAAGGAAAAAGGGTGAGAAATGCTTGTAAATGTGAAGGAATTTTTTGTTTTCCTAACTTTTCCAAAAGCGTACTTACTTAAAGAGACACCAAGATGAGGGAGTTCTGGGAGTTCAGGCTGTCATAGCAGAGCTCCTAAGAGAATGGGTTGGGGAATAAGAACTCTTGCTCTGTGACTTCAAACAGATGAGGGAGGGTGAAGGCAGATGTGAACTTGCCAGCTCTCTTCTTAGTTCTAGTTTTAAATACAGATGGGCTTACTTGTAGGCTAATGAGACCACACATCATAATATTTTTTGCTAGTTATATGTTTAGTGGATCTAGCTGGACTAACTTAGGCAAGGGGAAAGGACAGGGAAAGGGGCATCGTTATTACTCATTTGTTTATTCTTAAATTCATCCAGTCAGTCCATGTGTATTCATGTGTATCATTTGTAACTCCATAAGTTAATATCAGCTTGACTTTCGCATCTTCATTCTTGACTTTTGCCAATGAAATCTGGAATACAGGAAGGCTGTTACCTTTAACCGTAAGATCTTTATTGTTTTATATGCATTTTCCTGTGAAACATGCTGCTTTTATGTTCGAAATGATAAAGGAATAGCATCCTTTATATTTGTGTAGCACTAGAGAGAGAATCTCAGTGATTTTGAAAGATAGGTTAGATTTAAGATGTGATGGGCCCTCCCTGGTGGCACAAGGGGTTGAAGTACAGCACTTCTATGTGTGTTCAATCCCTAGCCCTGGAGGTGATCCACATGGCACAGCAGACCTCCCATCTTGCCCGCTGCTACCCTAGCAGTGTATTTCTCAATGTGCCTCTTCTGCTTCCCACTCTGACTCTCACCACTCCTGCACCTCTGGCCTGTACCCCAGTTCTGTATGCATAAATAAATAAATCTTTAAAAATAAATAAATACATAAAAAGATGTCATACCCATTTTACAGGTAGGGAAGGACAAGAGAGGTTTAATATCTTTTAATATCACCAATTCCACAGATGAATGAAATGACAGGCCTGAGATTTAAACCTTTAGACCTTATAGACCCAAGACCTATAGACCGTATTCTTATGGAGACCATTTCAGCAGGGCAGGAAGAGTAAGAGACCAGTCTCTCTGGCATTTAATTCTTTACAAATATTTAGATTAATATACAGATGATTATCATTAGTCATGGTAGTTAGGCTCTGTAAAGTAACTAGACACTCTTAGCAGATACTGAACCATTGTTTAAAGAAAAAGAAAAAAAAATTACATTCCTGTGAGCTTCTAGCCACAATATTTTTGTCAACTGATCAAAACATGACTTTGTTATATGTGTTTTTGCTAAAAGTCATTTTATTTAATGTATAGTAGATCTATTAACATTGAACTCACAGCTAACAGCACTATATCTCATGCCTGAATGAAGCCCATCGAATGTCTCTTTTCCCCCTGAGGTTTATCACTGCCTTCTATACGAGGTACAAGGCCACTAGGTAGCACTCAGGACTGTGCCTGTGGCCTCTTAAACAGGAAAATCATCAATGAGCATAAATATGTGAAAAACAGATACTTTTTTATAGTATTTTTTTTTAAATAGTACAAAGGCCAAAATAAGAAGTCAGAACAACACCTTGTTTGGTCTAAGTTGAAAACATATGCCTCAGGCAACTCAGCATTTTTCTGTTCTGTTCTATTCATTCCTTGAATGACTACTGATTTGGGGGACTATAAATAAGGAAATTGTGGGTCAACAGTTGAGGGTCAATTCTATCTAGAGCTTGGTCTCCTCAATACAGTTTACATTTAAAACTGTGGAGCCCTCTCCCTAAGTCATATGGGTGAAGGTGGCTTCACAGTGAGCATCAGGAATGACAAGTACAGTTTAGTATGGTCACCCATAAAAACTAAAACCAAAGAGATTTTAGTTTTTAAATATGGCTGCTTTGCTACAATTAATCATACAACATGCCTAACCACCTTAGTTTCTCTAATACTATCTGATTAAGAACAAAAACGTGCTTAAAATTACGCTGTTGTCTTTTCACTTCTTCACATTTTGGAGGCCAAGGTATCTACTATACAATAATGGGAAGAGCACCTTCTTCACCTCCTCTAGTGGGCATCAGCTTATGCTTCTCAGTATTCACTCATTCTCTTCATACATTCACCGTGTCTATTTCAGATTCTGGGTGTTAAGCACAATGGGCACAAGGTGAGGAAGTAAGATGCTCATAGAACAAAAAAGTAAATAAGCTAATAGACAAGCAGTTGTTGTGTAGCATGGCTTACTCAGATATGGAAACATGAAGTTTGATAGACTCCATAAGAGACACTTCTCACCTAGTACTGGGGCTTCCTTGGTGAAGGAGATATAAGATGTACAAGATAACACCTGAAGGGCAGGTGAGTAGTAGTAGTCTGTGAGGCATAAAGGGAGGAGAGTATAGAATGCTAGTGGATCTGCAAGTATAGCCAGGTAACAAAGACAGTGGGACTCTGGGCCTGAGTAAACCATGCTAAGGATTTATTCCACAGCAGTGGTGAGTCATTGAATTAAATAGATGAGCACTTTGATCAAAATTGCATTTGGAAAGAACACTTCGACTATATCGTGGACAATTAGCCTCTTTTGAGTCATCCATGGGGCAACTATTTCTCTCTCTCCCACTCCTTTCTGTCTGTCTCATTCAAGGCCCACAGTGGATGTTACTGCAAAATCATGCAATACCAGTTGAATTTACAAGGGTCTCGCTGTTGTACCCTTCATAACCCTCTCCATTATTTCCTGTCATGATGCTCAATGGAGCCATTTTCTATGACCATAAATCCCATGCTTTGACCCTTCTACTGTGGAAACTCCTAATTATGATGATAAATAGTAACCATTACTATGATTTATTGAACACTTTCTTTGTGCCCTTATAGTATTTCTAATCTCATAGTAGTGCTAGCAGCAAGGAAAGTATTATTTTCTCTACTTTGGTTATTTTTACCTATTTCAATATCCTTTGCTCCACAGACTTCTTGTGATAGAGAACAGATTAAAACTTGGTTTCATTTTACTGAGGAAGAAATGGGTTAATTGAGGTTAATTGATTAGGATTACTTTGGCTTTTTCTCTGTAATGTGTCAACTTTATTGACTGTGTTGTTTAAGTGGAGAAAATACAATCTGTGCTTTAAGCCAAATTCTACATAAATTCTATGTGACTACAATATATTAACATACGAAGAGGTTAGGTTAAAAACTGCCCAGGTGATAACAAAATTATTTCTCTACTTCACTCTATCCCCACTTACCTGTTATAGGCTAAAAATGTACAAAGATAGTGACTCAGGCCCAAATGTTTTCCCTTCAGTCAACTCCTCTAGGTTAGTATTGTCAACAGAAGGTGAAGTTTGTTGTTCACCAGAATGAGATAGAGGTGCCATTTGCTCTGACCAGCTGAGATGAAACTGGAGTAGTGAGTGGGGCCTGAGTTGGTGGTGACAGGAGGTGATGAAGTCTACTTCACAGTGATCTCTTTTCAAAAGATTCAGGCTGAAAAGAACCTCAAGGATTCCCAAAGGCTGCCCTCTTAATTTTAAAGACAAAGAAACTGAGGTCCAGAGAAGTAACCTGACTTGTTTTTAAACCACATGATGGAGTAATGGCAGAGCAAAGATATCTTGATGTCAGACTCAGGGACATGTGATCTAACTTCTGAAAAGCTACCAGCCGAGTCCTGGGAAGAATAGTATTAGCTTGACCGTATAGTAACATAAAGTCTCAGTGTTTGTATAGACATTTATAGAGATTATCACTGTAGCTGTAAAATGTTTAGTGAGGTCTGTTCAGTGTCAGAATACACAGGAATCTGCATGGGGCCATAATGGAATAGT